CTTGCCAAAGCTCACTGATTAGGATTGGAGCTTGCAATGAAAAATCAAAATTACCTAATTATAAAAGTAATAAGATAATTGGAGTTTAAGTATGAATGAGGTTACTAAGAAGAGTTTTTTTTAGCACTTTATATTAGCTTTAAGGACTTATGAATTAAAATTCAAATTACTTTGTATTTAAATGGTTGAAACCTAGTAGGATTTTTAAGATATTTATAAAACACAACTTCACCTTCTACAACCAAATGCTTGGTATATTTCTAAACAAGACAATAAGTACTACAATAAGAGTGTTGTATTGTAACATAACTATATGATGAAAATATAATCATTTTAATTTAATAATAATTCAAGATATTTAAATATGGCTTTTATAAAAGCCTCTTAGTTTATTTTCTAATCTTAATAGCTAGTGGATTAAAGGTTGGTTAGTAATTTTACCTTTTAAGTTGTTAAAATTCTTTTATTGCCTTAGAAAGGCCATAAATTGATAAAACTAGGTTAGAAGAGATAAATAATTAGCATGGTTGATATTAAGATTAAGTTGAAAGTAGGGTTGGGCTAAAAAATCTTTAAGATTGGTTAAATTGATATCCGGATATTGACTATTTGTGAGATAGGGTCAAAATCAAACATCTAATCACTAAAACAACCGCTTAGGATAATGTAAGGAGACATTCAAAGATTGACAATAAGGATTGATGAACTAACTTCAAGTCAATTTCAAAAGTATAAGGTTTATTTTTAGAGAGTTTGGAATGACTTTGCAATTGTTGTTTAAACCAAGATTGTATTGATGATTTGGAATTTATGCAATACAATTAGGACTAATACTCTTGGCTAGTTAGTGCAATTGGTGTCACATCTATAGTTCAAAATTTGATAGTACTTGGTTGATTGTGTATACTCAATGTATGTAAAGTTTTGTATTAATCTAATAATGCAATTGGAAGATATTTGGATTTTGATATAAGAAGGTATTAGAAGTTGGTCATTTGAGGTTGGATAGGATTTCAATGATATTTAAAGTTCTATTAATTAGATCAAGGTAAAATTTAGCATAGTGGTAGAAGACTTCAAGATCATGCTACACATTGATTTTGAATTGAAGTTAATCATTAGAGTAGGAAAAATTTGCTATTGAAACATCTGCATCAACTTTCAAGTTGGAGACCAAGTGATATTAGTATGGTTTTTAGGCTTTTTTTCACAATCTATAAGTTGAATTGAGCTGAATTTTTTTGAGCATATAAAAGACTTATAGTGGCATTCATGTACAAAATTTTGTATCAAATGGATGATCAACTTAGGAATTATAGCTTACTAGAATTCACTATCTAAGATTAGGGTTTGCTTGGAGAAATTGAAATTACCTAATTATGAAAGTAATAAAAGAATTAGAATTTTTATATACTTGTGGTTACTAAGAAAAGTATTTTTGAGAACTTTGTATTGACTTTAAGTACTTTTAAATTGAAATTCAAATTACTTTGTATTTAAATGGTTGAAATCTATTACGGTTTCTAAAATATTTGTAAAACTTAACTTCACCCTCTACAACCAGGTACCTGGTGCATTCTCAAACAAGACAACATGTGTTATAATAGAGACAACTATAGCGGCAGCTGCACAAATGATTCTAATCCACACTTGGCTGATGTGGCTAATATGACATCATTTTTTATTTTTTTAATTGTAAAAAAGGATACTAATTGATATATTGTGTTTTTATTTTTATTTTTATTTTTTGGATTAGCTGCCAAAAATTTATTTCATGTTAGCAAAGCAAATGGTTTAGCCACTAATATATGGATATATATATATATATATATATATATAACATGATTATGAAAAATTACACAAAAATATATTGAAAATAAATTTAATATATATGAAAAACTCAATTGATCAAAGGTTCAAATATATATACTTGACAAAGAGATGGATTTAGATGTAAAATAATTCAATTGTTAAAATAAAATCAAAACATATGTTAACTGATTCTCTTATTTTAATTGTTATTATTACATTGTTATAATATTTTAAAGTGATTTGAACATTTTGACACAAAAAAATCCAACATTAAATTTTACATTGAAAAAAATATATAACTGATTCTCTGCATGTTGTATACAACATGTGCAAAAGATTAGATATTATTATTTTCACATTAAATGTGAACATTTTTTTGTTATCTTATAACATTAAATAATATATATATATATATATATATATATATCAATAAAAAATAAATAAAAATACATATTAATCATTAATAAAAAATATATTATAAATCCAAAAATATAGTTATAAAAATACACACAATCATGTTTTAAGTAAACATGAATTATTCATTAATTAATATAATTACTAAAAAAAATTATTTATTTTTAAAATAATATTCATTATTTTAGCTTTTAACATATTTTTTTTTAGATTTTATTTTTATTTCTTATATTATAACTTATAAATTACAAAAATACTTTTTCAATCATCATCATAGATCAATAATGATTTAATATAATCATAAAATATTATAATTAATAAAAATTATATATTTTATGATTATTTAGAATCAATATGATAGTTAAATGTTGATTTTTTAAAATAAATTAGATAAAGAAAGAAGATATATTTTTTAAAAATAGTTATTATTTTTGAGCATCTTTTAAGAAATAAAAATTAAATAAAAATTTTAAATTTTAAACTTTAAAACATCTTCAAAAAGAATTTAAAATATATATATATATATATATATATATATATATATATATATATATTTAAAGATTAACTACTTAATATATATGTAATATTTAAATCTTATATTTCAATAATTTATTTATAAATATAAAATATTATAATAGCTCTAATGATTAATTTAAGAATAAAATATGATTTCATATGTATTTTTTTAATTTCATTAAATAAATATAAATATACATATATATATATATATATATATATGAAAGGAAATATTAATTAGATGCATACTTTTAAAAAATAGACCCACTCTTCATGAAGAATATTGTAATAATGATGAATTTGGTTGGTTTTTATTGCTTACATATTCAATATTGGAAAAATTAATTTAGATGTCATTATTTGTTTTTATGATGGTTAAGATGGGTACATTGATTTAGTAAAAATTGGGTATATTTAACATTCTCATATATATATATATATATATATATATATAATGCTTTACTAGCAAAAAAAAAAAAAAACAAACAAACAAACAAACAAACAAAGTAAAAACTTAATAGGTTCTATCAAATAATCTCAAATAATTATTTTTAATATGATTATTTCTCAATTATTGTCTTTTTTATAGAAATCATCTACACACAAATATTGATTTAACCACATTCAAAATTGTTATATATACACCTAAGAAAAATAGAGGCTTCTAATTGGCTTGTTATTGTTGTGTGAAGACACAAACTTGGGAGAACTACATGAGGTCGTCAGTGGCAATGATCCCCCTTTCAACAGTCTTGCTTATTGATCAATGGGTTGGGTCAAGTGGCAGCACCTCTATAAAGGGTTTTTAGGAGATTTTTAGGAACTTTGCTTCTAAAAAGAAAAATTGAATTTGAACTTTGTATGGACCATTTGATTTTGTAATCTTGATGTCTTTTTTCAAAAACCCTAGACTTGTAAATTGTATATATTTCTTTATATGTCTCTCACTTCACCTCTGCTCCAACTTTTTTTTTTTTTTTTTTTTTTTTTTTTTCCTTTTTTTTTCCTTTTTTTTTTCCCTCTTCTTAGCTCTCTTCTTCTCTTCCTTTCTTGCTTTCTTTGTCTCTTCTTTAATGAGCCTTCTTCCACCAAACCAAAAAAAAATGTACAATTCGCAAGAAGAGTTGCTCAAAGATATTTACTCATGCATACATAAATAAGAATGGGACAAAAATAAAAGTCTATTGCCTCTTCCCCCATTCCTCCAATCTCCCCACAATTATTGTAGGCATCACATTTTGTACAATAACAACTAGCCAATCAAAGGCCTCTATTTTTCATTAATTGTGTATAACCAAAAAACAAAACTATGCATACAAATTTTTAAAAATGTATTCTATTACTTATTTTATAATCATTTATTACAACACAACTTAATGTATAAAATTTATAATTTATTTTAAATATATTTTTGCTCACTTAGCATAAATTTAAATAAAAAATACATATATTTTTTGTATGTATGTGTGTATATTCATAAAAAATAAAAAATAAAAATCAACACAACAAAACAAAAACAGAAAAAATTATCATTCTAGTTTACAATCTTCCAAATTGAAAAATGAAAAATGAAAAATTATGAAATATATTTATTTATTTTCCACAAAGTGTAGACCAAAAGCATTTTGTTTTTTCTAAGTGACACTATGTTTACAATACTTTAGTAATGTAATTCACTGTTTTAGTATAAAGTTCTAAGAATATATCATAAATATCAATAGTAATATATTGTGAAAACAACCAATCTTTAAAAGTATAGAATAGTAGTAAGCTTAAACTTTCATTCTCATCTCCTTTCAGATCCAATCACTAACATTCATTTTACAAACATTTTCATGCTCTCATCATACTGATCCAAAATCTGAAATAAAAATGCCTTGATTTCTAGTTAATTGATATATATGTATATACATACATATATCTATATATATATATATATATATATATTATCCTTAAAAATCATGTAGTCTAAGAAGCTATTATTATATTCACACATCAAGATGCTTTTATAACTTGGACGTTACAATATGCATTATGATCCACACATCTTCCATTGTTATGATATCACATATTTAAATACAACTCATTGTAAGAAAAACATACATATGCACATACTATACATAACAACATCTATTATTTTAACTTAAGGCCGTTTATATTTCTAAGGATCCTCAAAACAAACAGCACCACAAGCTTCACAGAACCCAAGCCCGCAGATCTTCGACCCAACGACTCCAAATCTTCACAGAAGTAAACTTTATCATATGTACAGGAAACTAACAGATGAGGTATTAGGGTTTGGGGGCGAACGAGGCGGCTCAGTTTCCCTTGAATTGGAGAGGCTCCGTCGTGATTATCCTCTTTGGGTTTGCTCCACTGCCAATTCTGCTGCGCATCGCATCGTCCCTCCATCATGGGTACCTGCTTCTGTGCTCGCTCACTGCTCTGTTGACGTTTCCTCTTTCGGCTCGCGTTTCACAATGTGATTCCACTACTGCGAATCGCTTCATGAAGGCGTGGTTTTAAGTGATTTTTTTAGAGTTCAGTTGTGTAGGGTCTATGATACTGTCCATGGTCTTTGTTTGTGGTTATGCCACTGGATGATTGATCGAACTTTCGGTGTCGGTGTGTCTTCATGATGCTTTGTGTTGTTTGGTAGGGTTGGGCCATTCGATGGTTGGTGACGAGAGAGTCCGTTAATGTTGGGTTTTTTTTGTAATGTGTGAATTTGGTTCCCCAGGCGCGTACAAGTACATTGAGGAGCTATGGCGGAAGAAGCAGTCCGACGTGCTGCGTTTCTTGCTTCGTGTGCGCTGCTGGGAGTACAGACAACTACCCGGCATTGTACGTGTCACTCGTCCTTCTCGCCCTGACAAGGCTCGACGCCTGGGATACAAGGCGAAACAGGTATGTTCAAACTTGCGAATCTTTAACCTACAGTACTTTTTGCTTGGGCAGGTTGTAGTATGAACTGCGGCAAGTGCATCGCTTTGACTGGTGGGTAATCCCAGGTACAGAAATGAAAGTCACTGCGCATTTAGGGTTTCCTGGACCTTTGTATATGCTGACCACCAGGAGCATTTAAGTTATTATTATCGATTGGTGTATAGTTGTGAAAATGTGTCGTCCTCAAGTGCGATTTCTCGGCATGTCTTTATTAATGTGTAAACCTAAATTCACTATTCAACAAATACATTGGGGATATTAATTTTGATTCATGAATGTGATCGTTCTAATGCTCTCTAGGTCCATCAAGAAGAATATAAATATGTTTACTCCTTGTGTCAAACTCTATTTTTCACTAGTTAACTGAGCCTCCGCTGGTTACAGTTTAGTTAGGTTGTTGTCATAGTTTAGTATGTGCCTCGCTGTTGACGAAGGAGGAACGGAACCTATCAAGTCCCTCAACAGACTTTTTTACCTTCTGAAACTACACTCATGTCAAATGGTGTGCTTACGTTTCTGGAGCTTTTGTCTTGTTGTTCTGTCAGCAATGAATCTAAATGTGGCCGAAAGGGTTGGTATGGGGCACAAAGCTTGTCTACGGGTCTTCTTTGACAGGAGACTAGAGTACTCGTGACGTCAGAAACAACCCTGCTTAGTATCGTTTCTACCCTCAAGCTATATTCATAGCGTTGTGGTTGAATAATCTCGTTCTAAACTCATTTATCACATTCAAACTAATGTAAATATCAGCATGGATAGCACCCCGCAAGTTCCATTTCTGAGAACTTGGGCTTTCTGTCAATCGCGTGGTCTAAGGCTTGATGATGAAAATATGGTCGATATTCGTCTTTTGTTTATCAAGTATGGTCAGAGTATTAGTGATGTACTTGTTACTGAACACTATCCTGTGTGTGACAGGGTTACGTGGTGTATCGCGTCCGCGTACGCCGCGGGGGTAGGAAGAGGCCTGTTGCCAAGGGTATTGTGTATGGAAAACCTAAGAACCAGGGTATCACACAGCTCAAGTTCCAGCGTAACCTGCGATCAGTTGCTGAGGAGCGTGCAGGTAGGAAGCTTGGTGGCCTCAGGGTCCTCAACTCTTATTGGATCAACCAGGACTCAACTTACAAGTACTTTGAGATCATTCTGGTGGATCCTCAACATACTGTAATCCGCAAGGACCCAAGGATCAACTGGATTGTGAACCCTGTTCACAAGCATCGTGAGCTGCGCGGACTTACTTCTGCTGGAAAGAAGTACCGTGGTCTCCGCGGCAGAGGTCATTTGTATACCAAGGCTCGTCCTTCAATTCGGGCTACATGGAAGCGCAACAATACCCTTTCTCTCAAGCGTTACCGATAAACTGCTTAGACTTAGGCGTATGCTGCGTGTTCTCCTCTGGGCTTGTAGTGCGTGTGTTTTATATAAGGAATTTTTACGAATTCGGTAGAATCCTCACTTGTTCAGAGCAGAATGCTTTTTCGACTTTCATTTAATTGTATTTGGTTAATTGTGTCGGTATGCATTCTGATATGATATGATGAAATCGCCCTCGTGTGTGAAAAGTGGTTAAGGGTTCCATGTGTTCGAAGTTGCATTCAATTTAACTAACAAGAACCTGACCTTTACAATGATTATAATGAAATATTGAAATATGAGGGTTCTATATGTAGGTTAAAAGAAAACGAATCTAGCACGGTCAGTCTCCTTTTGCATGTAATTATTGTGAAGTGTACCATAAAATGAGGTCGTTTTACCTGTTACTTGTCAAACCGTGTGTAACTTCCAGTCCAGTTAACACTAAACGTTCTGATTTGAAAACTACTGTTTCGTCTAGAAAAACTCATCGTGTACACATTATGATGAAACAAGTTCTTTTCGAAATAACTCTACAGTAGATAACAGTGAGTACAAATGAATGCCTTGTGAAGTGCAATATCCTTTAACTAATTACACACCAAATCCAGTAGACATACTCTTGCAGAAATATGCGTTTTTGTTACATCCTCCAATGCACTGTGATGTCGAAATTTACTAAACTAGAATTAGTAGATGGACATCATTCCAGTTCCCACTGAGATTAAACAAGCAAAATGTCAGTTTTCAGAATCCATCCACAAGGTGAGATTTGTGTGTGAACAGCTCACCTTAATAGCAGATGATGTTCCACTATAATCTATTAATATTTATCCACAGAATTATCACAGCAACATCCATTGCTGTTTTTATATCTCAATTCCCTGCTCGTGCTCTTTCGAAAGCACTTAATGTGAAACTAAAAAAATGATTCCGATTGTGATTCAAAACATATCAATGTAGTTTAATATTTGTAACATATTGCCAACTTCATTAAACTGAATATAACCTACTCTCTATTTATTAAAAAATAATAATAATAAATTAAATCCTCAGCTGTCATTTAAGTTCAAGGAAATATTCATTTGTACTTATAAAGTACACTTATATAAGTATACTTACAAATATCCTTGTAAAATGAAGGGATTCTCTAACCGTTTTAAATGTTCATATATTTACTTTAGAAATAAATAAATATTTATGATCCTACATAGTTGATAATAACAAACATAAAAGATGTCTACTTAGAATATCTTGTGACATAGTTAATATGTGTTAACCTCTAGAAAATTTATTAAAAAATAAGTGTGTAATATTATTTTTATTGAGTGCTTTACAAGAATAAAATAAATAAGTTGTCAAGTTTGAACAATGAAAGACAAATGCCAACAATATTTAATATATTTATTTAATAATATCATGCATCCAATGCATGCAGCTTGCAACTTGTTTATTCATAAAACATTCACTATCTCCCTCTCAATCACCACACTTTATTAAAGCAGAGAAAGCAAGGAAAAATAAATAAATAAATAAATAAATAAATAAATGCAAGAAAGAAAGAAAGAAGCATATTATTTGCTAGGTGTCTATGAGATCACATGAGGTGTAGCAATATCAATTGGATATAGCAATAGCAATATCAATAGAATTAACGATTCCCTCTCTCTCTTTTTCTCTCTCTTTATATATATATATATATATATATATATATTGTTTTATTTTTATTTTGAAATTATTATTTTTAAAAATTTAAATATAATTTTATGTTTTTGTTACCTCTAATAAAATTAAAATATGGTTTAAAATTTAATTAGGTAAATAAAAGATGGTTAACTTAAATTTGAAACTTTTTGTAGAATTAATCTATTTTCTAGTATTAAATCTATTAATTGTAAAGATGCACATGTTTTATAATCTGAAATATGTAAATTTTTATCAAATCTAATAAGTAAAAAAAATAGTTGCTCCAAAATTGATACATAGAGATAACATTGGTGTTTATATATATAAACAAAGAGGTCAAGAACAAATATCTTAAAATTAATAAAATATTTTTTATATTTTTTTTTCTTTAATTTTTTGTTTATTTTTATTTATTTAATTAGTTTTTAAAAAATTATAATTAACATTTGGATACAAATGTATTGCTTTGTATGTATATTGTTTTGTATACAAAGTAATATTGAATTAATAATCAAAAAACCAATACTATTATTTTAATAAAAAATTTAAAAATTATGTCAAAAAAAAAAAAAAAAAAAAAAAAAACTCTAATAATCTTAGAAACTTTTAGAATCATCTTGTCTAAGTCTATTTTAAAACCACAAATAAACATACCATTATTCTGTATTAAACATAATATAGTATACAATTATTTTTTAAATTTCACTTCAAATTGTTAGATGTAAATTTTAGAATATTGATATTTATTATTACTGAAGTCTTAAATGCATATACCTTGTACACAATTCAGAATTTTAATAATTATATTTTAAGCATCTTGTGTCTAATATCTGTCAAATCAAATTTCTAATTACTATCTTTCTATAATTGAGGTTTCATATTGGGTATCATTTTAAAATCCTTTTTTAAAAATAAAATTGTGAATAATTTTTTAGGTAAAATGTTTTTGATTTTGTTATGCAAATTTTAGTTTAGTTGAATTTATTTATTTATTTATTATTATTTTTTGAAAAATCATGTGCTCTTGTGTGTGTGTGCCCATATATGTAAATATATATATATATATATATATATATGTAGAGAGAGAGATTAAGATAAACCGCTTCATTTATTTAGGTCTTTGTTTGTATACACATTTCTAATGCAACATGTCTTAAATACATAGAACTAGTTAAAGATCTTGTGTTGTTTTTTGTGAAAAACGGTGACAAGCAAATGAGAAACAAATTAAGAAAAAAAAAAATTAAAAATAGCAAATAAAAAATGAAAGAACAAGAAGCAAAACGTGAATTAAGAAATACTCAGAAAATTGCTCAAACTAGAACTGCTTCAAAAAAAATATATTTATATTTATATTTATGTGTGCATGTACATACATTAGAATAAAAAAAGAGAATTGAAGAACATCAAAGATTTTTCTGGATAAATTACAGAGAGAAGCAAAGAAGAATGGTGCAACGTGCAGAGACATGACATGAGGATCTGAAGAATCTGCAGTGGTGGCATAGGTCCAGGAGCAGCAACACAAACTACTTGAAGGGTGTGGTTGGACTTCCCTTTTGAGGACTGCTGACAACTACATGCCAATCCAACAGGACTTCAATCTCCACCTCACCTTTCATAGACAACCCCATTTGTATGCAAAAAGAATCCCAACACCACCAACACCTGTCCAATCCTTTCCCAGTGACGTCGGTTAGTAGCATGAAAGTTCTTGTTCCTCAACAGGAAACGGAAGCAAAATCAAGTCAAGAGTCTCCGTGGACAGCGAATTTGGACAACAAAAGCGTGAGATAATACACGTGTATCTTTGAAGTGAAACACGACTCAAGTACACAATTACGAGGAGAATCTAGTACATTAAAAGACGAGGATGAGGAAAAAGCGTTTTCAATCATGGAGATACTGGAACGAGTCTAATGCCTTCAACAGAAGTGCAGAAAATGTATTTAAGAAAATAATTCTGACGGGCAAGAATGGTACATCTTTACATGCACTTAGCAAAACCCATATTACATTCCATGCTAGTCGACTATATCATTACTAGCCACAATCCAAAAGGACAGCACTACCTAGGATCAACACAAGAAATGGCCACAAAACAAGGCGAGACCGGGAAAAGTAAAACCGAACAAAACATTTGCCTCGTTGACATGGAGAAGCTCATGGCCGACAATAGCTAAGCCTGAGAAATCAAATTGCCGATGCTGTATTGCTGGAACGGGCTACCAAGGTGCTGAGAAGATGCAATAAATGTCACGTTGCCAGACTGGGTATGAGTAGATAATCCCGCCCACTACTGTAGCAGAGTCCTGTGAGGAGGCGGAGCACTAGAGATGATAGTCTTCTTTAATTGTCCAACCTGATGTGCTTTGGGTGAGTTCTGGTTGTCTTTGAAGCTTTCGGTTGTCTTCTGGCTTCTCGTTTAGGGGTCTACTTGAGATTTAACCCTACTTACTATACATAAACGATTTCCGCAGGTCGCTTCCATAATACAAGGGCTCTTGGGACTCAGTCAAATTGCTTCAAAGCAGGCAAATCGAGACTAATGCCAATATTACATCTGCCATGCCCGCATCCAACCAGACGGCAACCAAAATGTAGCGACTTTTCAGGAGGTCAAGCCACCCGTAACTCAATAAGAAAAGCTGAGAACAAGTCGAGGAAGAGATAGGTAGGGCCCTCCACTCTTTGCAGGTCCAGCAAATACTTCTCTTCTCGCATCTTGAAGAGCTGAACTCGCAACCAACAAGCAAATTGACTACCTTCAAATGAGTTGTAATAAATAAAATGACCTAGTCACAAACTTACCACAGTCCGCATAAATAGAAGATCTGCGACGCTTGTGGGCTAAAAAGGAAATCTCTAATTTGAGAGTCTCCTTTAAACCAGATGTCCAGTGTTAAAAAAACTCCTGTGACATTTACACATGCCACCAGGGAGAGGACAACTATGTAGCTGCGGTTCCAACCAAGCTATCTGATAATTTGAGTAGTCCAGATTTGAGGTAAAGATAACTCCAAGACGAATACGGCATAGGCAACTAATACACCTTCGAGAGTAACGATTCCAAAACACACTTTTTTTACTTATTGAGAAAAGAAAAAAGAAAAAAGAAAAAAGGACGCACCTGCAATTCAAACTTGAGGACATTGCTCTCAACGCCACTCTCGTCGTCTTTATTTCCAGACGCCACTGAACCAGAGATTCCCTGCTGCTCAGAAGACCAGCGGCCAGACGAAACTCTAGGTGTAGTTCCAGCCATTGGGGAATCAGGAATACCACGATGTTCTGAGGCCCTGTCGTTAAGGTGTTGGTTTGGAGCTACCCATCGACATTTCAAATTGTAGGCACCTGTCTTCTTCCAGTTGATATCACACTTCCTGAGGGTATCTAAAACATCAGACATTATCTCCTTGGGATGTGATCGTAACTGCATTACAGTTATACATCCGCAATGAGTCATCTGAAAGCAAGAAGAACCTTCCAATTCCTCAAACCGAATAGGGCGAATAAAATCCTTATCTAAAACTGTTACTCGTCATAGAGGAACAGAACGAGATTAGTAGAAAAAGAGTTCTATGAAATGTATGTTCGTATTAAGGGACACTCACTCAGATAGGAAAAGAGACTAAGACATACCTGAACACCTAGAGCCCATTTCCTCTCAGCGACAACCCTGTGTTGTAGCACGGAGGAAGATGAACCTCTTCGATCCATACTAGGAGTGCGTATTAAAGATCTAGGATAGGTAGACCTTGGAGTCCCGCCATGTGCACCATAGGGTGACATTGGAGACAACGATTGCTCCTACATCAAACAAAAACCCCTTCACATAAGATATTATTTGTACTGGCGCGCAAGCTCATGAATTAGAGATATCCCATAGCAGAGGAAAACACAAACAAAGATGCCGGATTGTGATTAAAGCGATGTAAAGCAAGTCACACTAGAACAATATTGCATCTATTAAACATTCTCCCTCAAAAATGAATAGATGTCTAAAGCAATGATTGATAGTCTCACACTAACTTTTCCTTCATCAAATTCAGAGCCAAGGTAACCATTTGATAGCCTCCGACGATTGTCCAGCATCAAATAATATGCTACCGTTGCCTGTATGATAAAAATATTCTCATTAGATACTGACACATGTACGCGAATCCCATCAGCTCTAAGATACAAAGTCCATGCTGATTATCCTAACTGTAATAACATTTTACAAGAAATGTTGTCCAACACTTCAAACATGAGCCAACCTTTAAGTTGGTACTACCAAGCCACAAGAGTATTGACAAACCACACTATACTGTCATAAAAGTACCTTGTTCTGCACGCGGTTGAGCAGTGACTCTATAAGGTGTACCCGGTCAAAATTCAACGCAACTACCCGTTCCAGGATTTCCTCGTCAATCTGTTGGTAGATACCACACCAAATTACCAATGTTGTCGGTGAATGAGTTTGATAATTACAGATGTCATAATTTACAAACTCATATCTAAGCTTTTCTCAAATAAACAAGGTGACCCGTACCCTCAAAACTAGTGTCGTTCCAGGCTGTACATTTTTGGAATGCTCCTCCCATTAATTTTAAACCAAATTAAATTTTGAGAATACGAGGGTTGGCCTCGTATTGAAACTGTAATGTAATTATAGCCTCTAATTCAACTGACTTTGGGACGTGACACATCATACAGTTGTTACGTATTTACATGTTGAATTGCAAGTGGACATAAAAATCAAAGGTATTCGTTACTAAGTTTCCCAAAATCAACATCAACATACGGTACAAGAAACGCAAAACTTTCAGTTCATAATTTGAGGTATCGATCAGTTCAAAGGTCAAAGCCTATATCCAAGGTAGACACTGTTAATAAAGTATTTCAAGAGCATATAAACTTTAACATTAGGCCAAAGTCTTACTCGCTTAGCTTGCTGTAATGTATCAGGAGGAGGAACCGCAAGGTAACGAGGCAAGTGATTTAAAAACCAAGGATGCTGCCGAATCTCAGGAATGGTTACTCGCTTCATTGGGTCTACCAGCAACATCCTTGGAATAAGATCCCTTGCTCCTGGTGATAAATGGCTAGGCAGAGTGTAGATGCCACCCTGAATATATAACAATTCATGAGTGAGTACCAACGAATGATGGGTGAGGCAAGGACACGCACTGTCTGGAAGAGACTCTGAACATATTACCCTTCAATCAGTGTTACATTCATATTGAAGAATACATTATGTTGTGGAACGCGTATAGATTTAAAGATGAACAAGCCAGACAGTTCAAGACAAATTCGTAGACACTGGAGTGGCTAAACAGGAGGCAATGAGACAGAAAATACAAACAAACTACTCAACCGACCTTGATTTTCCTAAACAAATTCGGAATATTTTCGTCGTCGAAGGGCAACGAGCCACACAAGAGAGCATACAGAATAACGCCACAGCTCCAGACGTCCACCTCAGGACCGGCATAGAGCTTCCCTGATATAACCTGCAGTTTTAAGCATACAAAGTCAATATACAAGACTGAACTTAAATACTACAACTATGCACAAAAGATTTAGCATATGCTTTGAGGATTTGTACAATGTTCGAGGAAGCCTGTCGTTCATGTGCCTCAAATTTCAAATGTTCAGTAATTGCGGATTCCTCCAAGCCACTTATGGTAATTATCCATTGATTTTCCCAGTGTGACGAAGTATCAGTAAAATGCGGTACCATTGAGACTCATGCCCAATGCATCTTGTAGCTACCGAACGGAACCCAATACATTCAATGTGCGGAATTTGTTGGAGGCTTTGTGAACTAAGTGCTTAGTTATGGTGTCAAAACTATGTACAATGCAGCTTGCCTTGTGCATGTCTTCCTTATGCGCTTGCTTGTGGCTAACATGTTAAGTTTTCATAATCAGACTGCGAAACCTGCAACTTGGTCCATGCATCCAACACCAAAAATCAAAACATCCTGAGATACTTTATCTAAAGTTTAATATCAGAAGCACATCATATACAAAGTAGTATCAGAGAAGGTTGTCATATTTAAAGGAAAAGGCATGGAGGAAAACCTCTGGAGCAGCATAATTGGGGCTTCCGCAACTAGTTTTGAGAAAGTGACCATCCCTCATAATATTGGACAGTCCGAAATCAGCTATCTTGACGTTCCATTTGGAGTCGAGAAGTAAGTTCTCTGGCTTCAAGTCACGATGAACAACCATATTCCGATGGCAATATTCCACGCCAGACACAATCTGCGCAGCATGAGCAATTTATACCAGATAAAAGCCTGAAGAGCAAGAGGACCACACAGAATCCTCAAAAATTCCATTCAAACAACCAAGGAATTTACCTCTCTCACTGTGAACCACGGAAAACCAATGAGGGGCCTCTCGGCCGCGGCTGATATCCTCAATTCACACCATTCGATTTGTACAATTGAAACTGGAGAATTTCCCAAGACACTTTAATCATATTAAGCTAATCGAATGAACTGCAAATAAATGCATAACTAAAGCAAAAATTTACCTGCTGGAAAAATCGTCGAGCTTCATCTTCACCTAGACGCTGCTTTTCAACAATGTAATCGAACAGTTCTCCTGATTTCACGTATTCCATGACCACAAAGATGTCCGTTGGTGTCTCAATAACTTCGTACAAGCGTATTATGTGAGGGTGCATGAATAGCCGCAATATCTTGATCTCGCGTCGGACTGCATGAAATGATATCACATGTAAGACATTCCACGGTCGAAGTATCAGCTCAATGAGTCAATGCAGAAGTCAAATGTAAACGTTTCGAAACGTAAATACTGTCTAAGGAAGTGTATCAAAGCGTAGAAAGGACACAGCCAACCTTTCTCTTCCATGTCCATCGACTTGACTTTTCGTCGATTTAAAATTTTAATGGCCACCTTATGGCCGGTGGGAGTGTGCTCTGCCACCTTCACCTTCCCGAAAGACCCAATCCCTAGGGTTTTCCCCATCTTGTAGTTGGGCAGATAGTACTCCACGGCTACAGGAGCCACGGGCCTTCCACCGGAGTCCATCGCTAATCCCTCTAACCTCCACCCCAAAATTCCGGCACTTACGTCTCCTGTCCCTATCCACTGCCGGTAGAGCCTACCAGTGTCACGACCCGCCAGCTACGCAGAGCTTCATCTTCTCAATGCAAAAACCCTCCTCACCACCACACCCAAACTCATCCTCCGCTGGACACTGAATCCGTCAGTGTCACCCTCAAACTCATTCACACTACAACCTCCAAAACCAGATCACCTCAACGCCAACAGCTTCAGCATGCCAAATCCTCCCTCTATTCCCAATACGGGCACGCAATCAATGGCTTCCACAAGCCTCTTAAAACCTCCAGCACCCTCCCTTGCCAGATCAAACCCCTTAATCACACCATCGCCGCAAAATTCATCGCCTCAGATCACGTGTCCAACCAACTCCTACTTCAACAAAACCCTCAATCCACAACCCTACAACAACACGAAACTCATTCTCCCACCTCCAACACGACCCTCCCCCAACAGATCCCCCGGCCCATTGAAACTCTCACGAATACCCCTCATTTCGAAAAGATCCCCCCCTCCCTCCAAACCCCACTCCCCCAGAATTCTCTCTCACCCCAATCGCAACCAGTCAGCAAACAGCATCTCAAAACACATGTCTACACCATCTCCTCCTAAAACCTTAACACCTCCCAATCTCCACGCTACACCTCGTTGCGTCCAACTCCCCCTATCTCTCCTCCTCCTTACTGCGTTGTTACCCTAGCTCCTTCCTTCCACTCCGCTACACTTAAACACCACCACCCCCGCTCACCACACGACAATCCGCCATTGCGCATACCCGAAGAAAGGGACTCTCGTCCTAGACTAGAATCAGCGATACGATCCCCGGCGCGTGAGAGCAGCGCCAGCACTTGAGCGCAAGAACCGCAGGATTCCGAGCGAGGTCTACGAGTTCAAAAGCGAGGGTGGGGGGGATCGTGCAAGGCAAACATCGCCCAAAGAATTCTCCGATGTGACACTCACTATCTAATAGGGAGGAGGTGGTGATGTTGATGTCCATACCCGTCTCGGTCTCAGACCACGGTATCAATCAATCAGCCCCCGCTGGTCGGGCTACTCCTCGGACGCCACCATCTGGCTGCGTCTGTTTCGCGATTCTCGTCCTTGATTGATCTCGCGAGCTCTCGTTCTCGACCTCGATCTCGGTCGGACTCTGCGTTGCTTTTTCTGGTTCTTGGCCGCGCTTTCATCATTCGCCCTCGGCCTCGTTCGTTGTCGGGAATCGTGCCCATTCGGCCCCGTCTCTTTCTTGTTGCCCTTGCTATTGGCTCTTTTTTTTTTTTTTTTTTTTTTTTTTTTTTGGGGTTTTCAGTGACCATTGTGTTTTTTGGTTTTTTTGGTTTTTAGGGAGTTTTTTTTTTTTATTTGGCTTCCCTGCCTGTGGCCGAGGATTGGAATGTGCTAATTTCGAGATGATTTGTTGGCTACAGTTCGGGCTCTGGTGGTCCCGTTTCGAGACTCTCAATGCTCACCACTCCTCCTATTCTTTCTCCCTGTCTCCCGTTGCTTTTTTTCCCCTTCCCCTCGGTCCTCCTTTTATTTGTGACTGGCGATGAAGCACTAGGTGCGATCTTACCTCTCTTTCCTTCCCATGCGCCCTCCTCGAGGCCGCGTGAGCTCTCCTCCTGCATCAGATGCCGCAATGCAGCAGCTCCTTCCACTGACGTTTTTTCGTTTGAAACAACGCCATCGCTAAAACACGATGTCGACACAAGAGTGCTGTTTATTTTTTTGAATGATAACAAAAACAGAAAAGGTAAATAAATAAATAAACATTTCTACTGTAGATAAGGGGGAAAATGAACTAAACGCTGGAGGCTGCCTGCTTGCTCTTTCGGTAAAAATGATGTTACAATGGTGCCTGATTCATTGATTCTCCCAGAGTTCTGAGATTTGTACCAGTCTTCCATCATCAACTTTGAATTTGTTTGGTTTATTAATCAATTGATTATTCACCTGTGTATTAACTGCTTGCAGAAGCGTGGCCATTGAGAAACATGATTCTGTGGTTCCACAACAAACAGAAACTGCCAACCTGACGAATTCCTACACGCACGTGTAGGCTCATGATTGGAGACTCTACTTTTGCTTCAGCACGATCATGCACGGTTTGAAAAAGTCTCACACCTGGAATTATTCTTCGAAAAGGCTTTAAACTTATGGATCTAAGAACACAAATAATAATAATAATAATAATAATAATACTGTTTTATTTCATCCTGTCACCTCCGTTTCCATTTCAAAAAATAAAGTTAAAATAAAACGGCTGTATCTCAGCTGCTGAGTTTCCATCCCTCACCAGTGGTTACAAGAATGGGATACAAAAATACAAAACAAAAGGGCAGATTTGTTCATGACATGGATTGCATTTTGAGATCTTGGCATTGCTTCTGCATGGTTCATTAAGAGGGTTTGTTAAAGAAATATGAAAAATGAGTAAACATAACATGACCCTTCATTGTTTTAATCTTATATCATTTTTTCTTTTTTGAGGGCATCATTCTCCTTGATCACAGACACATTAAGCAAGGAAAAAAATTGAAATGTACATTTCATACTATTCATTATTAATATAGAAATGACTCAGAATATGCAATGCATGATACGACCATGCATTTATCATTTGGTGTCAGAAGAAAGAAAACAAAAAACAATAACAATAACAAAAAAAAAAAAACAAAAACAAAAACAAAACCAAACAAAACAAAGCAAAACCAAACAAAACAAAGCAAAACAAAAAAACAAATTTGGGAAATGTACATACATGCATTTATATGAAATGAACAATATTCAAGTATAATTGTGCAACTTTTGAAGACAAATAAACACAATCACCAAATATCATTATGTAAATAGGTGAATACTTGTTTTTCCATATTTATATATTGGATTATTTTAAAATGGCTGATATGTAATTAAGATAATTATATGATAAAAAATAATATTTTTTTACAACTTTTCATGAAGGAAAAAAAAATATATATAAGAATATTAAATAGATCCATGCTTTTAGCAAATAGACCCACTATTGATGAAGAATATGGTAATCATGATGTATATGGTTGGTTTTTATTTGTTGCATATCCAATAGTGGAGAAATAAATCTTGAGGTCATTATTTTTTTCATAATGTTTAAGATGAGTGGATCAATTTAATAAAAACTTGAATCTATTTAATATTTTCATATACATATTATAATTTTAAAAATAAAATTAGATAAATTCATATATAAAATATATATGTTTATAATTTTATTTTCTTTCCAATTAAAAATTTTATGAAAATGGTTTAAATTATTATTTATCAATGGTGACTTTTAATAAATCTCACTTAATTTGATGGAAGCATACTTTTGTCATTATGCATATTTTGATAGATTTAATAGTTATTATTAAAATTCTATAAAAAATTAATTTAATCATTCATAAATTAATATGAATATAGAAATCAATTTACATAAAATTCTTTTGAAGCATACTTATTATCTTATATATATATGTATACATATATATATATATACATATATATATATATATATATAGATATAAAAAATTTAACAAAAATATTTTATGATAGATTTTGTGGCAATTAACATATAAATTTTTAATTCATATAAATAATAAGAGAAATATCATGCTTAATCTTATTAATTAAAATGATTATATATATATATATATATATATGCATCTCATCCTAAAAAATATTAAAAAAATAAAATAAAATTATTTATAAAAATTAAGTTAAATATTACTTTTATAATGATCATCTTATATATAAAAATATATGTATCAAGGACATGAATTTTGAAGATTTGAAAGATTAAGATACTCTTGGATCACTCAAAAAAACTAGATAATGACTTAAAGATGATATAATAATAAACTAGAATAGCTATTGTTAAAGATAAGAAGACTAAAAAATTTTGAAACAAGAATAAAGACTAGAAAGGCATTGATAAGAGTGAAGAAGGCTTCATTCTTATCTCCATGTACATTATCTAATTAGAAGCTACGTAGCAACATTCTATACGACCTCCAATATATGTTGACCTCCTAGATATATTGACCTCTAACATATGTTAATTTTGTAAAATACATATCTTAACTTACAAGACAAGTTTTTTTATATGTGCGCCACATAATTAGCTTGTTCTACAAGCTAAAAAGAACAAAAACTTAATGAAAGCAAATAAACAAGTTAGACTTTCTTAAAGAAGTATGACAAAATAGAAATAAGGAAGTATGTATATCAAAAGACAACTAGAATGGCTATTGCTAAAAGTTGAGAGAATAAGTGACTTCTTAAAACTAAACTACAAACAAAAAATAAGTTGACAAGAATGAAGAAAGCTTCATTCTTCCCTCTATATATATTATCTGCATAGGAGCTATGTTACAACGTTTTATAGGACCTTCAAAACGTGTTGACTTTACATGATATATATCTTAACTTATAAAGCAAGTTTTTTATATGGACACCACATATTTAACTTATTCTGCAACTATTAAAATGTGTAGCATGTAATTAACTTGTTGACCAAGTTTTTAATCTACTAATCAACTACAAACACATGTAAAGTCAAAGTAATATTTATGAAGCTTTTAAGAAGCTTCTCTAAAAGATATTGTGAAATTAATCTATTTTTATTTACTTCTATATATATATATATATATATATTATCTATATAATAATTATTATAAATATATATCCATAACATTACTCTCGCTTCTAGAGATGAGTTCTATAAGGAGTGATGAGCACATGTTTAAAAAGTCTAAGCTACAGTAAATTATATTTGTCATATATTCTAATCTTTGTTCCTTTTGAAGATAATTGATAGTTTCACTTAGTCATCAATAATATCTTATTTCAAGGCAAAAAAACCATCCTATTATTTGATCACAATTGAAACCTTTGTAACTTCAAATAAAATATTTGTAATACCATTAGCAATCATACCTATCTCCAGTAAAATCACCAAACATTAAAAAATTCTTTTTAGATCATAATATCAAATATATTATGTCATGCCATCTATCTAAGAAAAAATATGTTATTTTTGAAGCTCTTTATTCTTATTATGTCATCTTAAAAGCTGTAATAATGGCAATGTCTTGTGTGGTAAGTCAACAAATAATGGTTCTTGAATTAAATCTTCTTGTTATTGGTTTTCTATTTCGTTAACACCACAATTATACAAATACTATAAACAAGGATAGAAGATAGAATGAAATCTTTTTTAAATTACGTTTCTTTTATAATAAAGGCTTGATATCCTTAATCTTGATTTTGATAAATGTCATTGATAAAGAAATTTGATCTTTTCTACTGCATTTGTAAGATTTTTTGTTGGCTTCTATATATATTTTCTAATATCATATCTACACTAATTGATAAGATATTCCAAACTAAGTCACCACTGCTTCAAATGTAAGACTTTTTTTACCTTAAATTCTTGATTATTATCCATTTCTATAGAAGGCAGTGATATTTGTCTTTTTTTCAAGATATTCATTGTCTTATATGGCTTCAAAAGAGACTTAAAATACATGATGGATTTTATAGACTCCAATAGATATAATCAATAAATAATTAAATTGATTTATTCACAAATAGAATATGGTCTAAGTCTACAGTAATCCAATTTATTACAATGGCAAATAGTTTTGATATTATGAAAAAGTAACCATATTTTATCACCAACGTGGAAATAAGGTTATTTTTTATAATAAGCATTTGCATTACTATATAATTATTCTTAGGATTCTTTCAATTCAGCCTTTATTGTTATATGTAACTCAGATAGATGATTTGTCAAATCTTTTGTTATAAGATTATTAACTTTTAAAAAGTCAAAAGCATCAAATCATAGATAATAATTATAATTAATAAAAAAGATATTTATTACATAGAAAAATATATTATATTATTATAAGTAAATTCTATATGTAACAAAATAATTTTTTAATCATCTTATTAATAATTAATGGTACATCTCAAATATTATTTCAAAACTTGATTTATACACTTTATTTGTCTATCAATTTGAAAATGAAAAGCCAAAGATAGTTTTAGATCTACCTTCAAAAAACGTTTTTTAAAATCTTGATATGAATTGAATTTTCTTATTCAATATAATATCTTTAAGCAATCCATGATAGAAAAAGATGTTGTTAAAAAAAAGCCTATTTGTTTCTTCACTTATGATAGATTTTGTACATAATACAAAATGTGTCATAGTGAATTCTCAATTATGCTTTATTTTTATTTTTATTTTTATTTTTTTATTTTTTTATTTTATGATAATTAAGCATGGTAGATTAAGATTTATATAAGTAGAATTTAGATTTATAGATTTTTTAGGATTACAACCTTTGATGGTATAAATCATAGCCTAATTCCATAAATTAGGTTAATTAAGGCCAAAGTGATAAGAATTAGAAAATTAGAATAATAACTTAGTTAGTTTTAATAATTTAGAGGTTATTAGTCACTAATATAAATTCACATACAATCATTTCACATGATTTAGAGTGAGTTAGAATTATAATTTTCTAAAAGATTTAGTAAAGTTCAGCAATAATAGTTTTGAGATTTCCTCCTAATTCAACAAATTCAAGTAGCATGGTGGTTCTTCTAATTAATAGAAGCCTTTTTAATTCAATGGTGGCATTGGATTTACTCCCTGGAGGGAAGAAAATAAGATCAACATCCCCTCCTTTAAAATACAAATGGAACAATGAAATTCTCATTTTGAAGAATTTTATAAGAATTTCGAAGATCCTTGTAGGTAAAAAATTTCATAAAAATTGCAATTAAACATGGATTGAGGCATGTGAATAGTTGATCTCAGCATAAAAAGATATTTTGAATACAATGGTGAAGTTAGATTTATTAAAAACTACTTTCTTGACCACTTATAAGAGCCATCAGCCTTGGTAATGAAATTGGCTTTTGGATGAATGAAGGCCAAAGATCTACATTAGGGATCTTAGAAATCAAAGGTAGAGATGTGGCTGCCCTCCCACAAGCCACCACTCAATTGTATAAGAGTGGCTTGGTTCTGCAAGCCTTCTTTCCGTCTTCTTTTAGTGAAGGGCAAAGCCATGCTAAATTTTGGCCTTAAATTCTAATCTTTATTTTATTTTTGATTTTTAATCTCATTTTAAACTTTGTAGTTGTGTATGTATGGATATTGAATAGTAAAGAATGGTCATTGGGTTTTAAGACGTAGGTCATTGTGATAGATAGCCCTCTTGGCCTTCCAAATATTCCAAGGATTTAAGAGCCTTGAATTTTCCTCAATCAGTCATTCAATTTTTTGAATTTTAATGTGAATTTTTTTGCAGTTGTTAGCTTTTTAATAAGATAAGGATTCCTTGATTTGAAGTAAGGAAAAAATTTTGGTGGAATTTCGAGTATGCAGAAGTCGGTTGCCTTAGCAATTTATATCATCTATTTTTGAAAAGATATTTCTCAATGCCTCCTAATTGAGTTATTGTAAAATTTTGGAAGTGAGTGAAGTTTTAAGTGAAGCTTCTATTGGCATAAATTTCACTAAATTTAAAGATTGACTGAATTTTTAACTAATTTTTAAAGG